CTCCTCGAGGATGAAAGTGAGCGAGTATCATCACGGCGTTCCTGTCGTTTTTACTTTTTTAAAAGAAAAACAAACAAACTCGTAGCACACTGTCAATCAAGAACAACAAAACTGCACTTTTTTATTATTATTATTTTATTTATTTATGTTTATCTTCGTAATTATTATTTATTTTTTCTATTTTATCACACACGTTATTCGGTTTTCCTCGTTTTTTCCTTTGCTTTGTACACTTCGACTCAGGTACTTATCATCATCATCATCGTATGCTGATAATTTCACTGGATCAACAACAATAGCGTAAAACAAACAGAAAATTCAACTGCCGCACTGTCAGTAGTTCATTATCATAATTGTCAACCGAAAGCAAAGGATCAACAGAAGAATAGTACCACCACCAACACCAACACCACCACCAATAATCTCAGAGCCTCGTCTCGCGCGGCAGATCAGGTAGACTGATGCTGGGCATCGGCAAACCCACGATCTCCGGCGTGTTGACCCTGTCGTTTCCGGCCACAGTTTCGGCACTGGTGCCCCGGAAAACGGGTCGGTCCACGCTCGACGAGCTACCGAATTCGTCTGCGCGCTCGGCTATCACTACCTCGACCGTGGAACTGCAACACGGGTCAGCCACCACGACCACCGGCTTGGCTAGAGCGAGCAATGGCTTGGGCGGCCGATCGTCGATGTAGTTGATCACGGGCACGCCTTCCAGATGGAGGAACGCATTTGGAGCTGTACGCGGACTGCAAGAGGACGGCCCGGTGGGCGTGTAGTACTCGCTGTTGATGTCGTCGAAGCTAGCCGTGTACTGGGCAACCAATTCGTCAATTCTGGCCTTTAGGTAGGGGTCGACCTGGCCGCCTACGTCCGTCGCGAGGAAAGACCCGTCCTCGGCGTCAAAGACTCCGGATTCCGAGCGGTCGCACGCCGAACCGCTGCGGCAGTTGTCGAGGTAAAGGTTCGGAAGATTCTCGAGCACTTTGTTGAGGGTCTGTTGCTGGAACTTGTAAGACTCGCGCAAACGAAGGACCTGGTGGGTGCTGAACTTCCGGATCTTGTTACGCTGGAAGACGTAGTTCTCGCGCACCCAGTTGAGCTGGCCCGTGGAGTAGTCGCGTACCCGCCTCACCTGTTGGCCAACCACGACAACGAAACATCATTTTAATTATCACCCTTACACTGGCAAGAACGGAAGAAAGAAGATAGATATAAAAACCCACCTGATCGTAATACTGGTCGCGCAAAGTAGTCAGATGGCTGGTGCCGTAGTCGCGAATGTCGCGTATGTGCTGCATCTGGCCCTCGTAGCTGTCCCTGATCCACTCGACCTGCTGAGCGCAGTTGTCCTTGATCCTGTGTACCTGCTGGGTATAATTTTCGCGCAGACGCTCGAGCTGTTGGCTCTTGTATGTCTCGATGTTGTCCAGCATCTGGTAGATCTGCTTGGCCCGTGGCGAAACGCCCACGTGACGGCAGCACAGGCACCACTTGGGACACCCGCATCTGAGGTTTTTTTTGTCAAAGAAGAAAAATGTTTTTACATTAAAACTGATATCGCGTTTGAGACGGTTAAAGTCGGTTACAATACTTTTAGTTGTTTAGTTTAGTTGTTTGGGAGTGAAATGACAATCTGGCTGAACTATGAAAGATCGAAAGAGCAAATAGTATAAACAGCGTGGCGAAAGACAAAAAGGATAAAGAAACGCGCGATAAACGAAATCACCCACCTCGAGAGTATGTATCGTATCAGCTGGACCAGCAAAGTTATCAGGAGAAAGCCTGCCGCGCTAGCTGCCCCCACGATAATACTGAAGATCTTGATGTGGTAGTACGAGATGGGATCCATGAGGAGGGTCACGTGGCTCGTGGCGTTGGCTATGGGATTGACGGCGAAACACTTGTAGACGCCCACGTCCTCCCTTAGGAGTCTCCGTATGTGCAACGAGCCGTTCTCCAGCAGTCGGATTCTGTCATCGTCGTCTTCCACGCTGGCACTACCACCTCTAGGTCCACCCTCGTAATCGTGGACTCGTAGGTGATTGACAAAGACATCGGGGAAAGAGGGGTCGGGATTCCAGTGGAAGACCCTCAGCCCGGGCGTCACCCAGGTCAGCGATGGCAGTGGATTACCGCCGAACTCGCACTCGAGCACCACCTCGCCGCGAATGAGCCAGTGCTGGGTCGGACTGACCCTCAACAGAGTCGGTGGCGTGCAATTCAAGTAACTGAGCGCCTGTTCCGTCTCGACGGCGCTACCCGCGACGTCGTGCTCGCAGCGCAGTCCGCTTCGAAAGGCGGCGCTGTGGGGCACGTGCTCCTCGGCCCAGCGCACGAACCAAAAGGTCCGACAGTCGCACGCCCACGGGTTACCCTGGAGCTCGATGTGCCGAAGCTCGGTCAATTGGGCCAAGCTCGTGGGCAAAAAGCTCAACTGGTTGTCCCGTAGACTGAGACTGCGCAGTCGGGGCGTGTCGAGCAGCGCCTGGGGCCTGATCTCCCTCAGCCGGCTGTCCGTGATCTCGAGGCTCTGCAGATAACCCAGATGGGCGAGCTCGCCCTCGCGCAACACCTCGATCCGCGTGTTGGCCAACAGGAGACTCCTGAGCCTTGGCGTGGCCAACCACAGGCCCGGGACCATCAGCGAGCTCAAGCCCGTGCCACCGAGATTGAGCCAGCCGAGGCTGTGTAGCCCGTGAAAGGCGCTACCGCTCAGCTGGGAGATTGGATTGTCGCTCAAATCGAGCCACTCGAGCTTGCTCAGCTCGGCGAAGAAGCCCCGGGGCACGTGGTCTATCTCGTTGCCGTCGAGCTCGAGGACCCGCAGCTCGACCAAGCCCGAGAACAGCTGGGGCGGCAGCCTCGTCAGCCGGTTCGAGGAGAGCCTAAGCTCCCGCAGCGCCCGGTTAGGTCGGAAGCTGTGGTCGGGCAGCGACACGAGCAAATTACCCGACAAGTCCAGCCGGACGAGGCTGCGGGTCGGCTCGAACGCCTGGAAGGGCAGCACGGCTATGCGGTTGTTGGCCAGCCAGAGGACCTCGAGTCGGCTCTGGCCTTGGAGGAGATGCCTGGGCAGGCCGAGGAGCGCGTTGCCCGTGAGATTGAGCCTCTTTAGCTTGGCGAGGGGGTGGAAAATCTCGGTGGGAAGCCTCTCGAGCCGGTTGTCACCGAGATCGAGGTTCTCGAGGCTCGGGGCGCCCCGGAAGGTGTCGGTGTTTAGGCGCTCGATGCCGCTCCTCGTCCAGAACAAGTCGCGCAGCTCCCCGGCCGACTCGAGCGGGGAGCTCGACAATTCGACGGTGCCCACGTTGTTCAGCCAAGCCTCGAGCAGCCCCGGCCCGAGGCGCAACGTCCCGAGAACCCGGTCCGAGCATTGCAGCCACGTGTCGTCGCACTTGCAATTGTCGGGGCACGACGGTATTTCGCCCCCACCGCTGCTCGTGGCGTTTTTGTTGTCGCGGTTGGGAGAGCCGTCGGGCAGCGAACCGCTCGTCGCCACCAAAACCAGCAGGACAGCCAGGTTCATGCAAAGGGCGGTCTGCCATCGAGCGACCCTCATCCCTGATGCCGCCTGCAACAAAAACCCAGGTCGACACGTTACACCCGTGTACTCTTTGGCCATTTGCGATCAAAAAGGCCCAACGCATCTAACCGGTGACTCGACGTTTTCGCGATGTAGATTGGCGCATCGTGCCAAATAATGCGTGCGCAGTTTATTTGTTTGTTTTTCTTTCTATAACGAGGCAAGGAAAAGTACTAAGTAGGCCGCGCCACGAAATCCCGTGGGTGAGCTTTAATTACACGGCTGCGGTATAAGTACGTGCCATTGTTACTTGCCGACACACACATATACGTCGCGCATAAAGTAATATCATGTAGCGCTCAGTCTTTCTTTTACTCTATGATAGTTTTTAATTTCTCGTGTACATTTCGAATCGCACCATCAAATGGTCGTTTCGTTTTTCGACAAAACCCAATGTATGAATGGGAAAATTTTTCAAACCCGGTGTCGCGTCACTTATACTTGTGGACACACGTGATGGTGGCGTAAGTGGTGTTGTTCTTGGCAGGAAGTCGCTTCTTTCTGGAACATATCAAGTACTAGACGATCGTCCGGATATTTTTCTCTTTTACGTAAGCGTTGGAGTTCTTTTGCCAGCGCGATTTCAAACTTCCGCGTCGTGCATGATGAAAGAAAAAAAAATAATAAATAATAATAATAATAATGATAACAATTGCACAGCATGATATTCTAAATTCTTCTGAATTCTAAATTGCAACAATAATCAACAATTACTTTGTCCCTGTATCGATAACTCGCAAACTCCGTACGACCATTGTATTTTACCTGTGCTCCGAAACAATCGATTCAGCTAGCAGTGCCCCGTGAACTCTGAGGTACAAAAATGTACAGCCGCCCTTATCTAGCATCGATTTATTATATACCTGCCGATGATCCTACAGCTGCGATACACCCTCGGATATAAAAGAGAGAGGGAGAGAAAAAAAAAATCATGCAGCTATTATAGACACACGGTGGACCACGCACTGTAACTTGAACCTCACTCGAGTGCCTCCCTCCCCAACAAACAATATACAAAGGAAGAAAGAAGGATCAATCAGGTGCACACTCCGTCGTTTGATTACCTAGTTCAGGGCCGGGTCGATAAACAGTTATAGTGTCAGCGGGTCCAAGGAGGAGCAGTATCATCGGCTCGCCCGGTCCGCTCAGCTGGAGGGTATGTGTTGCCCCCTAGCACCTAGTGGACGCGACCGAGGAGGAGCAGCGTTGGCGGCGCCGGCGACGACGGGCACGACGTAGCTGCTCGACTCCGTATCGTTCCGCCTGCACCGTTGCCAATGTCGTATCTTCTCTGCTGCTGCTGCTGCTGCTGTTGCTGTACGATCTCTGAGAGGAGGCAGCAGCAGCCGAGGCCGCCATTGCTACTTACAACGGCGGCAGCAACCTTTATCGACTGCTTCCCCGGTTTGGTTGTCGCGGCTCTTTTGCACACGATTGTGTATTTTTATTATTGTTATTATTATTATTATTTATTGCTGCTGACACACCGGCAATCACTTTTACTGTGTACCGCCTTGCGACAACTCCCGACTGCTGTCACTCGATCGGGTTGTCGATCGCCAACTTTGGATGGTTTTTCTTCTTTTTTTCTTTTTTTTTTTTTTTTTCAATGTTGGGTCGCCGCGTGTGTGCAGGTTCGCGACGCCCATACGGAAACGTGGGAACGCGTGGGAGAGAGATTGTACATACGCGAAGAGAAAATTAACGCAGTCGTTGGGAGAGCCGAGCGTCGACTGCGCGAAGGCATCCCAGCTATACAGTTCGGAGCAGTGATCGGTTGTACCAGACGAGAGAGAACGTGTGTGCACACACGAACGAGAAAAACTCGGGCTGCGCGCGCCGGTCGAAAGCATATTACCCAGCCAGCCCGCGTACAATGTCATATATATATACACGTTATTAATATATTATGTTCTTCGCATCTGCTTGTAACATCGTGCATGCGGATACATACTTACATCGCCAGAGGGGCAGAAAAAGGCTATACCTTGGATGTTGGGTCCCCATCGGAGCTCTTCTCTCTGGTGATACGATGGTCGTCGATGGTTGCTTTGGGACCGGCTCCCCTGACCCTCCTGTGACTCTTTCGCTCCGCTTCCCTCTCTCATCTTATAGGTGCATTCGAGTTGCGGTTGGTCATCTTACCAGCTCCTGGCTTGTTTCTTTGTCCCCCGAGTGGTTTTGGGCTCGCTTTGTTATTGCAGCTCCGGGAACGATTATGATGATTAACAGCGTTCCGTTGATGAGGACGAGTTTGTAAATTAGATTTGCTCGGTCGACTTCGTGGCCTTGTTGATCGTCTTAAAATCGCGTATGTAGCGAAATGCCTCGTTTGTTGAACTCTTTGGTGTACGTTTGGCATTTGGAGGTGCGCAAATTATCACGTGAATCGTGATCATTAGCTATTGCGTGACATTTATATTAGGTAGGTGGATACTCATTCGTTTTGCGTAGATAAAGCAAACTCACTCACGACGATGAAGATGAAGAAGAAGATATGGTGATGGAATAAATATCCAAGTCTTGTGTATAAATTATTAGTATCTCCCACTCCGGCGACTGTGACCGCTGCCCGTTTCGTATAAGGAGCTTGTACTGCGAAATCATTTTCCTTTCGTAATTTTCAAGTAAAGTACTTACTTGCTTCGAGCCACGCGCTTTTCCTAATGAAGAAACGCGTACGCAACTGCCAGTCGAACATTTTCAATGCAACCGATTACCAGAGTCGATTTTTAAAACAAGATTGAAAATTTATTCTCGTCCACTTTTACATCTGTTTACTCATTTCTTGAAAAAAAAATTGATTGCCACGTGATTACTCGTCGTGTGGCGTGTACTTGGTTAATAGTGGAGATTGTTAAGGCAAGTTTTTACTACAATCAATTGCATTAAATCTAAGAAACAATGAAATTGAAATAAGCACCTAATACGACAATGATCTAGAGGAAAACTGAATTGATTCGTTTGTCTTTTTTTAAATCAACAACCATCAGGTAGAACCGCAGTATTCCATTGAAGTTGTCAAAAAACGTGTGTATTGTATGATTTTATTATATATAATTTTGGACTCGTCGTTAATATATCCTTTTTTGTTATTACTCTCGCAAAACAATTGGATTGCACTAAAAAAGAAAAAGAAGAAAAAAAATTCCATTTCCACCCAATACCACCGAACCATCTCTCCCCTCAGTCATGACGTATTGTATCCTCGGAACTGCTACAAAGTGTATAATACCTACTCACTGAAAAGATATCCCTCATTCATCGATTCTCCCGCAACTCCGTTGCATCTGCTCGTTTTGTCAGCGAATATATTGTACCCCAAGAGACAAACCGAGCAACAGCGGCAGAAAGACAGAGACAGTCCTTGAACGAGGTTCACGTTTATAAACAACAGCCAGATCGCGTACGGTAGTGTAAAATAGGTAGTATAAACTCACCTAACCCGGGTATAGCTTCCTCGCGTTAGTAACGTATACACGTAAAGTGGAATGCGCGCGCAATTCTCTTTCTCGCTCGCAGCTTTCGAGGGTATGTGGGCGCTAAGGTGAACATCGATCTCTGGCTCTCTCTATCAGTTGTACAGGGTTGAGGTCGGGTTTTCCCGGTTTCATACTCTGCTCGCTTAGGATCGATGTGTGGACAATTAGGATGGATGGCTTTCATATTGTTTCTGGGAGTGTTTGAGAAATAGTTTTTTTTTTTTTTTTTTTCCTTGATAATTAGCTCCTTAAAATGTCGTGTTTGGTTTAACTTATTGTCATTATTACACCTATGGAGTATCACTAGGTGAATGTTTTATTCATTTATACAAATTGGCTGTAGAACTTGATTGTTTCATTTAAAGACAATGTATAATGTCTCCACTGAAGTTGATGACAGTAGGTATACTTGTACTCTTATAATTTACGATCTGTGAATCACAATTGTCTTTTCAAATCCAGTTATAGACACATGAAGGTTAATCAACTTGCAAATTAGTATTAGCATCATTAATATTTTATGTTCAAATAAAAAAAAATTTGCATCAATTGCAAAGAAACTGCGGAAACAGAGTACAACATCCTATTGTTCTTTGAAACCTTATTTTCGTTCCACCTAATTTTTTTTTTTTTTTTTTCCTTTTTCATAAGTCAAGAAATAACTGAGGGTAAATAAGCAGGGCACCGTGAACGCACGGCAAAGTAAAAACCTCAAAGGCACACGGAGAGAAAAAAGAGAAGAGCGGAAAAGGAAAGGTGGCTTTGACTGACTTGCGAGCTGGCGTGTCTGTGAGCTTTTCTTCAAAGTCATCGGGATGTGCGTGCACGTGTATATGCGCACAACGCGTCTATGAAAGCACGTTCTTTATTTTAACTTTTTTTTCAAAGTTTCATTCAAAGCTTTCATTCGCAAATCGCCACGCAAATGGATGTTGATTTCGTCCTATTAATGTGGTAGCAATATAAATTAAAGTATTTTTGATAAATCTCAATACTTGTGTGTTCAAATTATTTAAAAAAATTCAAATGCTTCTATTTGATGATTTAGATTTGGCAGATCAAAGCATTTAAAATCTATGACTAAATTTGAAACACTTGGATTCCTAATAAGATTCGTCAACGGCTAGATATTTTTTCTTGCCATGGAAAATACTTAGCAGCAGTGCAGTTTTACAAATCCCCATTCAAGGGTTTTCGTGCACTTTAATGCTTTTAATTTACTTAAAATCATTAGTTTTGACAAAACATCTCTCCTTTTCTTTAACTTGTCCAGCTATAATTTTCACAGACTTATAACAGAAGAGTTAGCTCTCTGTGATCACGTTTGCTTTCGATTTAAACTCAGCAGCCAAAAAAGAACCATCCTCTCTTTGCAAAATTCAATGTAAACAGTCCCAATGCCGGCTGATAAATATTTTCGAAAGGGTCGATCTAAAATTAAATGGTTCGCATCCCAGGGTCTCCAAATGACAGTTACCTCGTACTTTTATCGAAAAAAAGGATCACTTTCTTCTTTTCACTCCAAATACCCGATAATCAAATGGGAATTCAATTTCCGCACTCACGCCCACACGCACGTGTGTCCATTTACCTCGTCACCTTCTTCGCTCGGTCAGTTTTCGCCTTTGGCCAATACAGATTGATATATCCTACATATATTCTCAAGATAGTGGATTCGTTCCCTCGCGACCTTGTCTCTTCTCCTGCGCCACGGAAATTTGATACAATTCCAACCTTGGCGCCGGTATTACTTATTTAAAAGATTGTTTGCTCGGTATGTAAAATTTAGTACGAAAAAACACGCTATCCCACTTAAGTGACGAAAACGAACTCCATGTAGTCCAAGCCGAAAACGTCGAGTATTTTTTTATCGCTGGTATCTTGAGTCACTCGTTACAAAATTCATAGATGAGAAAATCACTCAATTTCTCGGCCAAACTTTTCGATTGCGCGGACACAACTTTCAATTGACAAACATTTAATTCCCCATAAGTGGAAAAAAGCAGAGGGTAAAAAGGGGTAATATCGTGCAAATCGTGTCCTTGGCTCGACTTGGCAACTGCCACCAGTTTTTTCTCCGTTCGAAATAATGGATGGGGGGACTTACGTTCTCGGTATGGCCCAAAGTTTGGATCAGTTTGCGTAATTTTCCTTTTCATTGATTTGTTAGGACTAACGAGAAGAAAATTCATCTTGTCGATTTCTTACATGTACATATAACTCATAAAATCGCAAAACTTGGTATTTTTAGCTTTTCTTGATAAAGCGAGAAGACACGAAGTTTGTTATTTCAACGACTGACGGCTGTCCATCGTCACGAAGTAGGCCACTCGTGGGTGAATGAAATTAGTGAATGTTACACTTGGGCGCTCGCGCACAGAACCACCAACGTAATAGTCGAATTTCAGCAGTTTACGATTGTCACGTTCATATCTGGGCTAAGCTGCTGCACAAAGGAAAACACGTGGAATATAAAGCATTTACCGCTTTTTATTGAATAATGTATAGCTTAACAAACGGTTGTAAGGAGAAGTGAAGAAAGCTGTACACGGGTTGTAATTGTAATTGATCGTAATATTTGAGGCGGGGGTGGAAGCAAATGGCCATCTCAAACTTGTTATCGGAAGAATACATTATCTAAACTTCTTTTAATTTCCAAACTACTCTGTGTTATCACTGCAAAACTTGAGCGAAGAAAGCAATTTTTTTTTTTTTCTCGAGATAACACGTTTTCCCCAGCAAATACGAGATAGCGCTTCTTTTTCCGAGTTGCTCAAACAAATGTATAAAATTTTAAATCCCCCTCAAAGACTTGGAAAAAAATAGTTCCATACCGCAAGTACGTGTGCCATACGGATGGGATAAAAAAGCTGGCTCCATGGGCTCGCAGCAAAACCATCTTACCCAAACACCAATAAATCACCTTTGTTTTTGTCCATCTTTTCTCAAAAGATTTTTGATGTTGAATTATTTTACTCCGCGTCGACGAATTTTTTTCTAACTAAGCAATAAGAGGCTTCTTTTTTTCATCCTTTTTCTTTACACTCTGCTGGAGTAGAAAGTCTCATATTTAAAATAATAAAATTAGTATAGGAATATGATGCTTTCTAATATGCATTATATAATAATGTATTAATTTTCTTGCAATGATTAATATTGATGTATAATAAAGGAAAAAGTAACACAAAAAATAAATTGATATTGTTGAAATTAAATTTGAAAAGACCTACAAAAAAATA